TAAGAAATGCTTGAATGAAATTTAGAATCCGCCCGTGTATGGCATTTTCTTTTAGTTTTTGTATTAGGCCGTTGTGCCAGATCATGTCGAAAGCTTTGCTGAAATCTATAAAAATGGCCAGCGTGTATTGTTTTTGTGCTTGGGCTACCTTTATATCATGTTCCAAATGTAAAATGTGATCCAAAGTTTGCCTATTAGGAGTGAAGCCACTCTGGTCCTGCTTAATTAGGTTATGGGATTGAATTTGGTGTTTTAGTCTATTGTTTATTATAGACTCTAGTGTTTTACATAGGTGTGAGGTAAGGGAAATGGGTCGAAATGAATCTGGGGAGTTTATGGGTTTCCCTGGCTTTAGGATTGGTACCACCTTGGCTGTTTTCCATGAAGATGGTATGTTTCCTGTGGTCCAGATATGGTTGAATAGGGTGAGTGTTAAGTTTAGGATGTTTGGTGGAAGTTTGTTTAGTACGGTGTATGTAATGTTATCTGGACCAGGGGCTGAGGCTGTTTTTTTATGTTTTAAGGCTGCCTTAAGTTCATGTATGTTAATGTTTTTGTTTATAGGTAGATGTGAGTGGGGTGGTTCAGGTGAGTAGGGTGGGTGGTTTTTAATGGTGTTGTGGAAGTTTTGTGTGTAGTTGGTGGAGCTGCTAGTGTCCGAGAAGTGGGCAGCAACAGCATTAGCTTTATCTTTGTTTGTGGAGAGGTTCGGAAGGTTAGGTTGAATTATGGATTTTGAATTTCCCTGTATGGCTTTAAATTTTTTCCACATTTTCCTCGAGTTATGTTGATTTAGCCTGAGGGTTGAGCAAAATTTTCTCCAATGTTCCTTTTTTGCTGCCTTGATTAATTGTTTTGTATTATTTCTGAGTTTTTTAGCTAAATGTAATTTCGAACGGTCCCTCTTTGATTTATTAAGGGCCTTTTTTCTTGCCTTTCTGGCGTTAATTATGTCTTGGCTCCACCATGGGACTGTTTTTTGTGCTTGAGTGGTCCGAAATGTGGGTATGCATGTATTTGTTATATTGATGATGGTGTTTGTGAGTTGTGAATTAAAAGTTTCTGTGTCAGTGTTTATAATGTTTGATGGGTCAATTTGATTGCAGAGTTTGGTGAATTTGTTCCAGTCTGCTTTGTGTATATTGTATTTGATTTCGGCGCTAGAAGTGGGGTAGTTTGGGGTTTTGTATGTGATTCTGGTGTAGAAGTGAAGATGATGGTGATTTTATGGGGCAGTGGTCACTGCCCCATGTATCTCATGTACCTCCCATAGGCAAGCTTTTGAGTATGTAGGGGTGGTGATTGTAAGATCTATTGCAGTTGGAGATTGGGCGTGGGAGAGAGGGTATCTGGTGGGTTGATTGTCGTTTAGTGTGACGAGGTTGTGGTCGTCTAGCCAGTTAGTTAGAAGAAAACCGTTATTATCAGTATAGGGTTTTGTGCCCCATAATGGATGGTGAGAGTTTAGGTCCCCGAGGATAAAGGTGTTGGGCGTTAAGAATTTTGCAATATTGTCTAAATCTTGGGGTATAAGTTTAATAGAGGGTCTTCTGTAGGTATTTATGAAGGTTACTAGTTTATTATTTATTGTAGTTTTTATTGCCAGGACTTCTAAGTTAGTAGTTTTAATGTCAATTTCTGAATAATTGAGTTTATTTGAAATGAATATTCCCAGTCCCCTGCTGGCTGGGACCTGGGAGATTTATTAGCCGGGGTCCTATCCTTCCTGATATAATTGTAGCCTGGGATTTTGAAGGCGAATTTTGGTGAAAAGTTTGTTTCTTGTAAGAATATTATTTGGGGCAGAAATTTTTGTTTTGGGCGATGAGTGCCTTAAGCTCATGCCCGTTTGCTCGGAGGCCGTTACAATTCCCATTGTATCAGAGCCATGACTGCGGTAATTTGGAATATGATATTATAATAAGCCATGGATGGGGCAGAAATTTTTGAAGAGAGGGTTGAAGTGCTAGAGTAGCTTAGTGGTGGGTTGTTTTATGAGAGGGATTTAACTGCTATGATGAGACTAGCTAGACTCTTGTGATATATTTTGTTTCTGCGAGTGCAATGTTATGTAATTTTTGGCTGTGGGATTGTTCATGAGTATTGCTGCAGTGATGAATTCAATAATGAGGTTTAAATTGTGATTTATTTTTGTGGGGTGAGTGTGAGATTTGTTTGTGGGGGCAGATGTAGTGGATTTTTTGGGGTGGAGTGAGCGGGGTTTGGTGAAGCTGGTGAAGGAGGAGGGTTGAGGGGGATGGAGGATGTGGGGGAGTGTGGTTGGTTGGGGGTTTGGTGGGTGTGGGGGCAGTTTGGAACAGGGTTGTTTGGGTGGCTTGGGTGGGGTGGTGTTGGGAAGAGGAGTAGTGGTTTTTGATTGGTTGGGGATTTGGAGGTGGGTACCTTGGTGGTGGGTTGGGGTTTGGGTTTGGATGGTTTGGGGCAGGGGTGATTGGGGAGGTTTGGCTGGTGGGGGAGGGATGGTGGTTGGGAGGGAGGTAGGGATGGAGGTTGGCGGGGTTTATGGGATTTGGTAGGGCGGATGGGGGCATGGTAGGAAGGGGTGGAGGTGTTGGAGGACGAGGAGATGTTTGAGGGAGAGGAGGATGAAACTGATAGTAGTAGGAGTAGTTATTTTGTAGTTGTAAGTTGCAGGTTTGGGCAGGTCAGTTTGTTTGGAGGTGCTTGTTGATTTTAATATTTGTGTCTGTTTTATGGGGCAAGTGTTTTGATTGGCAGAGTGTCCTTGTATTTGGCAGTGTATGCAATATGTAGGGTGTGGGTGCATTCTGTAATGTCATGCATGTCTGACCCGCATTTTGGACAAAGTGAGTAGTTTTTGCAGTTGTCTGTGGTGTGATTGTATTGCATGCAGTTTTTACATTGTGTGGGGTTTTTGCGGATGGGGTGAACTTTGTAGTTTAATGCGCCAAATGTGATGTAGGTTGGTAGGGTGGTTGATTGAAATGTGAGGAAGGTTATCTGGGTATTGGGGTTGTTTGCGGATGGTTGTTTTGTGTTTATTGTTTTGTAGTCTGTGATTTTGGGTTGGTTTGTGATGGTATTTGCAATGTGTATGTATTCTTGAATGTCTGTTGGTGTTTCCCTGTTGTCGATGTGAATGACCCCCTGTGATTGTGTCTGCCACCTAGGTTTCTCCCATTTTATTGTATTTTATTTGTAGAACGCAACCACTACCCACCTTAAATAGTCAACAGAACCATCGAATCAACGCTTTCACCTCCTGCCAAAAGATCTAAACCAGAATCAGCCCCCATCAAGATATCCATTCCCTACATTGGTAAACCATCACACCAATCAGCCGACTCCTGAAACAACAGGCAGGCATGGACACAACCTTCTCAGCGTCCTCCAGCCTCAACAACCTCCTCCATGCCAACGGAAGAAAACAACCCACCGTCAACAACAACAACCCGAAATGTGTTATTTATAAAATAAACTGTGATTGTGGCCAATGCTACATAGGTGAAACATCCCGACCCTTCAACACCCGAGTCAAAGAACATCGCACCTCTGTTGCTAATTCCGACACCAAATCAGCTGTCTCTGACCACATCAAAGTTTACCCCAATCATCAAATAGAGTGGTCCGACATCACCATTCTCGCCAACAACCAAACGAACTTCACTAAACGCAAGCTCACAGAAGCCATTCACATCAAACGCCACAAGCCCACCATCAACCGTGACCAAGGATACTTCATTCCATTAGCTTATGATCCACTCCTCCACCAAGCCCAATCTATTTTATAAACATCGCATCTATTGTATAAACATCTCATTGTAACTACATCTCTGGCTTCCATTCACTATCCTTTGTGTACTCACTGGCTTCATCAGCTTACTGCTTAGCCAATCATGGCAATTATGTTGTTTTCTTTGTCTATTATGTTGTTTCATTGTTATATACAGTATATATATGCAGCTCCTACACTTCATGTATCACTCTTGCTTGACAACGGTACAAGAATCTGTATCGAAACGTCGCACTCACGAAATAAAGAAGTTGTTATCCATAAAACTTGTTCTATATTTTACATCTCAACTTCTAAAATGCCACTCAAACAAGTAATACCAAGTTACCTTTGTTAAGATGCATTGACCCGAGGAATGGTCCCAACTTTTCCTTTGCCAATGAATACAATATCCACGTAATGGTCAAAGTGTCACCCGACATTGAAATCTGTATAAAAGCCAGCAATGGAATACCATTGTCATTCTTGAAAGAGGAGACTCATGCAACACTTCACTTGAGACGTTATCCCTTTGCTGATTGAACATGGGTTCCCTCCCTCTGTATATCCCTGATTATAGCAAATGGCAGAATTACTTCAAAAAACACATGACAGGTACTTCTCGTGTTGTTAAAGGAAAAACTGCCCCCAAAGTTATTCCATCTCTCCGACCTGTTGCTCAAAAATCGAACCGCAGATGACTTCAGAACCACAAAGTGTGGTGGAGAGAGCAGATGCCAAAGAGAAGCGTCATAGATCTTTAAAAAGAGCTGCAGGTGAACAGGTTGTCACAGCCAGGAAGATACGTCAGACAGGCAACATTCCCTGCAAGACAGCTAAAGTACTCAACCCTTGAAAGAAAACGACATCTTCAAGTGTTGAACGACATGTCTTTATTGAATAGCAAAGATTTTGAAGAATTGATTCCGGGGTCATTAATCCTATTTACTCTGCCACCATATCAGACCAGCATCCAACAACACTATTTTGTAGATGTACGCCCGCTCAGTCAAATTAATGACTCCTCCCCACTGGAATTTCACATATCTAATTCGGGCAGCCATTACATCGATTTGTAGCGAACAAGATTGCATATGAAACTCAAAGTCACTCATTCAGATGGCACAGTATTGGATAATGATGAACACGTGGCAATCTGTTTATGCAGGCGTTATTTCCTCAAGTTTTAGTGCATATGCAGAACTAATTGGCGTCTTCGACTAACAATCATTATGCTTACAAGAGCATGATGAAGACATTGCTTAACTATGGAGCCGATGCCAAAAACTCCCAAATGACATCACAGCTGTTTTACAAAGATGAGGGTGGAAATAATAGTGCCATTGAATCAACCAATTCTGTCACTGGAACCAATGATGGTTTGACTGCACATGGTAATTTTACCAAGAAAAGCAAAGAACTGACCATGTCTGGACCTTTGTATGAAGATGTGTTTGGTATGAAAAGACATTTGATCAATGGAGTAGATTTGACTTTGAAACTGAACAGATCATCACCTGCTTTTTGTTTGATGAGTGGTAAAGCTAAACAAGAGTATACCATTGAGCTACTCGATGCATATCTCCAAATATGCAAACTCAAAGTCAACCCGGCACTGATCCTAGCTCACAACACCCTGTTCCAAAATAACTCCTATGCACTCTATCCTCTCACTAAGTCTGAGGTCAAGGTCAACAGCATCCCCGTTTCTCAACTGACACGCACCATTGATAATGTGTCCAACCCCATTGCTAATTGCTACATCGTTGGCTTTGTGGAAAGCAAGAGTTTGAATGGGGCATATGATGGGAATCCTTTCAACTTTCAATCAAGCATGCTCAAAACTGTCAGCTTCTATGTGAATGGTGTCAGTGTACCTGGTCGTCCAACCCGTGCTGATGATGTGAACAGCTATGTTAACATGTTTGATGGTGCCGGACTTTGGAGAGAAAATCGAGGAAACTGTATTTCTAGAGAAGAGTTTTTGTTAGGAAATGCACTGTTTGTCTTCGAGCTGGAAGAGGTGTGTGGAGAATCTGAATACCTCAATCTGGTGAAATCTGGAAATGTGCCGTTGGAAATTGAGTTCAAAACTGCACTAGCCCAAACCTTGAGCTGCATCATTCTCAGTGAAAGAAACTCCATCATAGAAATCGATCAGGCTCGAAACGTCTTTATCAAGTAAAGACAGAGGTGAAAGCTTCGCAGTTGATGTGTGCCCTTCAGTGTGATTCAACCCTACAGAGACATGTCTTGGAAGTATATGCCAGAGATATGCTTCCTATAATCACGCCTTTCATGCAAAGACAAGGTGTAGAACTTATTGTGATTTGTGTAATTGATCACTATTTAAAGGTTTTTGCTGGTTCTTACTTACGTAACAATCACCAGTTACAATCTGTAGATTCAAATGTCTGTGGGTTCTATTGTTTGTACTATGTCTTATGTAAAATTAAAGCACATCAGAGTCTAAACCATATACTTCATCAGTTTGATATATATACTTCTTGTGGAATGACACCTTTGTATCTGAATATATTTGTAATTATTTCGAATACTGTACTCTTTCTTGTCTTGTAATTGATGCTATTTATGTATGTACTAGAAGAAAAAATTAGTGTAGACGAGATTATGCTTGTGTTGTGTATAAATACCTTTGTATCATGATATTTAGTGTAGTTCTGTGCTAAAGAGCAATCTGGATCGACATGGAAGAATGAGTGTTACAATTTCAAACTCCCACCACAATATCGGTTGTGGGTGGTTCTTCATGTGGAAAAACATTTTGGGTTGCACGACTCTTAAAACGAGCTGGTAGCATGTTCGATCCACCACCCAACCTGATTGTGTATTGCTATGCTGTGCGACAGGATGTCTACAGCGAACTTGAGAGGGTGATTCCCAACATTCGATTTAAAGATGCACTACCTACGGAAGAGGAGTTAAAATCATATTCCTCAGAATCTGATAAACGGTGTGTACTGGTAGTAGATGACTTCATGCAGGACATTTGTAAGAACCCTCTGTTTTTACATCTTTACACCACACAGTCAGCCTTTCCTAAAGGCGAATGTAACAGAACCATGTCTTTAAACACCCATTACTTTGTTCTGTTATCTAACCCACGTTCAGCGCATGAATACAAAATTTTGGCATCGCAAATATTTCCAGGACAGAGCAAATATTTTACGGAGTCCTTACAAGATGCAGTGGGGAGAAATAAATATGGGTATCTTGTTTTGGATGCTTCACCCTATGCTGATGAACCCTATGGACGTTTTCGCACAAACATATTCCCTGATGAAGCATGTGCAGTCTACTTACCGCAGTCATAGAATTATGCCCAAGATGATATATATCCGTCTCTCTATGAGTGTTTTCATCATTTCACTTTCATCACTATAACTGAACAGAACCATGGATGAGTGTGGACGCTTCAATGATGTGTTCCCAGATTGTGTTGAAATAGAGACTCACACTGAGAGCTATGGATAAAAGTTTAGTGACAAACTGAAGTCATTCAGCAAATGGCCTGTTCAAATGGAGCAGTCGCCAAAAGCCATGGATGAAGCAGGATTTATTTACACAGGACAATATGATAAAGTCTACTGCTTCAAATGCAAGCTTTGCGTACATCAATGGTTACCTGATGATGATCCCACGACCAGACACTTCAGACTGTCTCCTCACTGTAGCTATATGCGCATGGGGTCTGAACCCAAGAAAGGTTAGAAAGTAATAAAATCCTGTTGACTATGCTATACTTGTACATTCGAAAGTGGCACATCGAACATTCAACATCACATCACATCACATCACATCATGAGTGAACTACTAGAAAAAACATTAGAATTTTCTTCTGATGTTGGAGCAAGCCGGTGTTGGACAAAGAAAGGCTTTGTTAATACAAGCGTCACATGGACAGTTTATGTCGGTGATTACTCTTATATTTAACATTCTGCGAGGAATCATACCTCTACCAGATAGTGATAAAATACGACTGACACGCTACAAGAAGTGCATTCGATCTTTAGCCAGCAAGACAGTTAGCAACCACGAGAAACGTGAGCTGATTCTGATGCATCATTCGGTTCTACCCATTTGCATAAGATCGTATCAAGCATACCTCTCATCGATTCACTTTGAACAAGCCTATGGTTCTTCTGAACAGAGAGACCTACCAGAGGTTGATGAACAATCAAGAAGAACAGATTCCTCCTCAGACAGTGAATCAGACACCGATTCAGGATCATCTGACAACGAAACAAGATCTGAAGATTATGAATCATAATAATGGATCTAGTAACAGCGGTGATGAAGAAACACCTGCATCTGTTGTGAAGCATACCATAGACATCATGCTTCATCGGCAAGGTAATGACTTTGTGGATATTTATGAAAGAAAACATTCTAAACAGACAAATAGGACTGACAGAAGATTTACAACTTTTGTTACCTAATGGTGAGGTGTTGCATGGTTCGAACATAGTAGACTTGATCCGCTGTGTTATCATGAAAGCAGGTGTTAAAAGTCACTGTCCAGTAGGATATAGGGACTTTTATTAACTTTAAGACATTCACATAATCCTAAACATCTCATGAAAAGCAGACAAAAGAAAGACAAAAAGAAGAAAACTGTAAATACTTTAAATTTAAAACGCAAAGATTCTGATGGTGCGCCTGGTACAGCACAAGTAAGGGCAATCGATCCTTTTTAATGTAAATCCATCACTCTATACATATTATGTACAAGGAAATAAAAATGGATTACTGAATGAATAGTTTGTCTTGTTTATGGCAAACTCATGTTGAGTTTGGTGAGCATCTCCAGTCTCTCTTTTCCTATGTTGGATAGCAAACCAGAATTCAATAATCAATGTTTTCATAACATACGGTACGTCTGTCATGTAAGTCTAGTCTGAGTTGTGTACGTTGCTGTCGTGCTCTTTCTAAAATGTTCTGATGAGGTATTCCACTCAGAGCGTCCTCAAAATAGAGGTCCACCTTTTCAGCACTATCCATCATCACACACTGGTGGTGAATTTGTGAGGGATGATCAATTTCACATCCATAACAATTGTCTTGACACAGTTTTGTTATTCTTCTCTGGAGTTCATTCAGGTAGAGAGTTTCCAGAATGGTCTCAAACTTCCGTCGATTTTGTCTCAAGTCACGTGCACGCTCAAGAGACTGTGTTGTGGTGGAAATTTCATGCACTTCCACAGGATATACAGTGTTTGCAGTGATAACACCTCACTTCATTTTTCGTTGTAGAACCCCCTGTGCTGCTTGATAAGCTGCCATACGTGTTCGTCTTAAGGTCTGACCTTCACGCAGCGTTTCACCATTGACATTGATCAACCTGTATTCATATCTCTGGATATCCATTTTGATACTGAAAATGAACAAATGAATAAATTAATAATTAAATAAATAGATAGATAAATGAACAAAAAAATATATGGTGAATGAGTAAATGAAGTACATACCGGCTGACTACTGTTTTCCTGTGAAGATGTCTTCACATACATAGGGAGTATATATAAAGTTTTACTTCGGTGAATATCCATATGGGACGCTGTGAATAGCATCATCTAACAGATACCGCTTGTCGGTGTCAATGCCACTTTGCTTTGTCTCTCAGTGTACAAAGTGTTATTGTGTGATCGAATCAAGTGAAAGGAACAACTGAACCTCTTCTGATCAAATAATGATTGTTTATACAGATCATGTCTGAGATGACAGATTTCTTAATGCCTTTGGCTGTGTTTTTTTCGATGACGTTTTTTGATTTTTGCATCAGGAAAGAGTACATTTTGCTTTTTAACCCTACAAACTCTAATATGGTGCTCCCACCTGCTTCATCTTTCATTTTACCAGTCACCTTGCGATTTTTATCCGAATATAACCCTTTGAGGTCATCAGGTGCATAGTTTGAAGTGTCAAACAAATGCAAATTGAGTTTCATGAACACATAAGGATCCAAAAGGAGCTCATCTGGAGGTGCATGTACATGCATTAACAAACTGTGCGTGTCCGTCATCAAAAGGTCAAGTCTTTCTGGTCCATACTGTCTTTGTATGACATCATAAAAAATGGAGTAAATTTCATATTTGGCTAAATCCAAGATGGTGAATCCAACTGCAATGGGCTGATCTAAATGTTCGGATAATTTCTACCACAGTCACGTCTTCTGAAAATATTTTGACCTGCTTGAAGTTACTTTTAGTTGAACATTTTCGAAGTTTGGACCTCTGCGTCACCAACTGAGCTGTTTTATGTTTTCGTTTATTCACGCAGGACCGTCCAAACACACAATTGTTCATGAGTTTATACCGATCTTTATCACATTCATCCTTGGCATTTGCGGGTTAGCCAAATTAAGATCAATGTGAGGTTTCAACCATGCTCCTTGTCTAAATTTGAGCACTCTGTGTATTTTTGTACATATCAATCCATGTCTCAGATACAGCTGCAAAGTTTTGAAGTGAACCACGTAGTGGGAACGATCTTTCAGAGTAGTGAAAAGTTTTTACACGATTTCTTGGAACGTTAACGCGATGATTTTTCCTGGTGAGCAGGTGAAAACTCATCGAAGGGAACATCATCATGAGTAGGAGCCATTGGAAAAGCGGCACGAGCTTTGTGTATCTGTTTGGGGTACAACAAATCCACTTCAAGGATGTAGCCTGTATCTCCTTGTGTACCTACAGTTGTCCAGTCAATGCTGTCATACTCCTCAGAACTGATGAACTGATAGTTTCCAATGGGGAGGGGTTGTAGCATGACAGTTGCATAGAGGGAGTTAATATCAAAGTAGAGAAGAAAGGAGGTGTCTATCATAATATCACAATCTGATATGCAGGTGCTAACAATCATCACCTATTTCTCGCTAATCATAGACACCCAACCACGAATGGAATTTTCAATAACATTGTAAGTGTCCACATTAGTGAACAGATCAGGATTGGCATCTGTGATTTTCATGGCAGCATCCAGACAGAACCCCGACATTGAGTAATAATGACAAATGTCAGACAAAGAACTAAAGAACTGAAGAAGGATTCTTGGGAAGGTAAACAAACCTCATTCAATTTTTCCCAGTCATCCATGTATTCATAAGGAAAGGGAAGTTTCCTTGTTAACATGTTTCCATGATGGGGAAAGTGTTCTTTCAAATAGACAAATGAATCTACACCTTTGTTCAATTTGTTTTGAGTCAGTGCATCTAATGAACTTTGCAGAAATTTGTAACTATCCAAAAAGACAAAATTGTTATCTACTGTCAAAGACAGAAACTGTTCCAAATTGTGAGGGATGACTGTAATGTCTCTGTCGCCAAAGTGTTGTGCTACTTCCAGTATTAAGTGAGAATCATAACGTTCAGAGTTATGAAGCATGACAACCACTTTCTTGCTTAACTGAAAATTCAGGTTACATCTATTATGCAAGACTTGTCGAAAACGTCCTGTCAGGTGGTCATGGTCTAACACTCGGTCAGTACTCAAAAGTTCACCACACAAACCACAATGAGTAGCATTGGCGATAGTTATCTTATCTTGTTCACACAGTTCCATTGGTTTGATAGAATCCAACAAAGCCTAGATGTTATCATATTCCCTTAAAATACTTTCAATAAAATGTTCAGCCGCCTGTTCTCCTACATAGGTTTGTACAGGTTTAGAGTACTGCTCCTCCGTGCACACCACTTTGTAGGCATAAGCACAAGGTACATGCTTATTTAGTCGTGAACTACCTGGGTTGCTTTCTGGAATGAGCAAGGACTCCAAATCAGCTTTGATAACAACTTGGCTCTTTCTGTTTTGCTTTGGGAACGCAAGCCAAACTGATACACAGCATCCTCCGGATTAGGCATAATGACTCTTTGTGCCTTGTCATAACAGTAGTCTTTATGCTTATCCAAGCATTGTTGTGATGTATAACACCAAAGACATTTTCGGCAGATGAACTGAGTGCGGTTATTACATTGCTTGTTACTGACTAACCCACTTACACTGGTAATGAGACACTAATGTGTATTTGGTTTAACGTCTACGTCCATGGGCTCATATTCTTTTAACCCTGAGATTTCTTCAAAATCATCTGATTCAATTTCTTGTGAAAGCAACAAAAAATCAATCTTTCTGTTTTCATCTACATCTAGCAGATTGCTGATGTACATGGGATACAAAGTATTATCTTCAAATCCATACACATTGATACTCATCTTATTGACTTCTTCAAATCGTGGAATTTGTTTTAAAATCATTGGAAAAATAAATCCTTCTAAATTCAATCTGTTTAAATAAGGATGATAATGCGCTTCACTTTTTTGTTATGAGAAGCCGGAAACAGTTTTGCTAAAATGCTGTAGACAAAACAAAGGTTATCATCATTTTTGATGTTGATAATACTTTTGGATTTCTTAACAAGAGTTTGTGGGAGTGGAATATAACTTCCGCCTTTAAAAGGTTGAAACTTTACCACAGTGAGTTTCAAATTTACAATAACTGAGATATTCAAACCAGAATGAACCCCCTCTTAATCATCCAGCCTCTGAAGCATCTTGTGCACGGCTTCAAGATACTGTTCATTTAAGTCACCTCCCTCTGTAGCTATAGTCATGACACTTCTGAAATAAGCCTCATGGTAACTTGTACTATGATCTTCACGATTAGGTTTAACCATTCTTATATGGAGGCACAACCCCCATTTCACTGCTCTTTTCTCACGAATTTCATCCTCAATTGTATCAATAACCTGACTTTGTTCATTGATCATGAAATTCAGTGGATCCGCGCTATTCCGTCCTCAAAGTCATAGTCTCTAACATCTCCCTGTAAGGACTGTCTCGAACATGATCCCGAGGTCTTATCGGATGGAGGAGGGGTGTTCGGTGGAGGAGAAGTTGGAGATGGAGGAACAGATACCGTGGCCGTTTTAGCCTTTTCACTACCTTTACCTTTACCACCGCCTGTCATGTCATGGTCAGTTTTATGTTTGTGCATTCTTAACGCTTTAGAGGTTGGGAAAGATTGATGGCAAGTTTGACATATATGTTCATCAGCGACAGATGTCGCACAGTTATATGAATGCCATTGATAACTGGATTCACTGCTAAAGTGTTCAAAGCAATGCGGACATTGATGACAATAGACAACATTTTTGGAACAACTTTTGACATGGCGTTTTAAACTGTCTTTCCGATTAAAGGTTCGATGACAATGGTCGTAGGTAAACAATGTGTTCACTT